TCGTTAAGGTTGGAAAAGACTTCCAAGATCATCAAGTCCAACCACCAACCCAACACTACTATGACCACTAAGTCATGTCTTGAAGTACCACATCTACATATTTTTTTGAACATCTCCAGGGATGGTGACTCCACCACCTCCTTGGGCAGTCCAGCACATAAAAATTGCTTCTAACTTGGACCCTGCAACTACAAAAAAACACCACCACCAACAAAAAAAACCCCCACAACATTAATGCAGGAAAGAATAAGAATTTCAATATAAATTGATTTTAGACATAAAATTGTTGCCAAGAAGTGAAGTGATCCTGAAAACAACATCTTGAGTTTTTTTTCAGTCCATGGAAATGAGCTGCAGTGTGATTTGGGCTACAGGGAGCCTGACTGGGGAAGAGTACAAGAAGGAAATGTGTAGTGGCTGGATTTTGGTTTTTCATTTGAATTCCGGTGAAAAGATGTCAAAAATGTTGTCTTTTTAGAACAGAAGGGACATGGACAGTTCTGACCTGTGTCAGTGCAGTCTGCTTTTTTTCCTAAAAAAATAAAGCCATGCCAGACAGTTTGTGTGTAATTGGCACAGTAATTGTAGCAGTAACACTGTGAAACTTTAAATTCACAAATACACCACACTGAAGTTAGTGATATGCAGAATTAACGTGATTTACACTGAATGGATTAAAAGCTAGCTAGTTAGTTGTTTTCCATCAATAACTGTTAATAAATTGAAGATGGTTGGAAGTTTTAAGCAGAATTCTAGCATTTACTTTTGCCTGTCATCCACATGTCACTATTCAATCAAATTTCTTTGCTGAGAAACTTGGCAAACTGAAGTTTGACAGTGGTTGTCAAAGGCTGTTAACACAGAGCCAGCTGACAGATGACCGACTAAATGTGTACAATACAGAGCTGTACTTTGAGAAGCAGAGGATGTTAGCTTTTATTAAGGGACATGGATTTAATCTTTGCAAACACAGGACTTCAAATGGATTTCAGGTCAGAGTGACTGATGTAATATCATGACTGATGTAGCAAGAAGGTCTGACAATACCTTTGAGTGAAAAAATAAATAAATTAGATAATAGGAGTTACAAATAAGGGGAAAACACTATCCAGATGTAACACTGGAAGCACTGGCAGCAACACTTGAGAGTATGCCAAGATAGCAAAATTCTAATTTCTGGAAAGCTTGCCTCGCAGTATGGAGTATAGAGTGAAGCCTACTGGGCTCATCAGACAGGAAGTTAGTTAAGGGGTGACTTGATTGTATTATATGATGAGTAGAAAAAGATAATTATGTTTGAGATCTCTAGAGTCTAGCTGAACAAGATCCAGTGGCTGGAAGATAAATTAAGAAATAAATCCCTGAAATGGGAAGCGCTAAGGAAATATTTAGAAACTAACATAAATTACATTGGAAAAAGTTGTCTAAGGATGTGGTGGTTTTTCATTCACTTGGACTCCTGATTTAACAATTGACTTTTTAATTAATTTTTTTCTTTTTTTTTTTACTGAAAGACAGTCTGGTTAATTTTGTGGGTTAAATACAGAAATCACTGGGTAACATTTTAGAGTCCATGTTAGGCAGAAAAACTAGAGTAGAATATTGTTTCCATGATCTACGGGGTTTCTTTCTAGTCTACAAGATTTACGTCCTGTCAGAAGTTAAACAAAAATTTATTATAATATGTTGCAAATCCTTCTTCCTCAGTACATGTATTCAGGCATAGTGTCTGATCCCATTTAGGTGAGGTAAAATGAATTGGTTTTTTGTATTGGCCTGTTCTCTGTCTTGAAAGGTTTTTGTGTATTTCTCCTCAATAGAACAGAAGAACAGAGAAGGTCTGAATGTATTTCAAGTATTATTTCAATATGCCACCTGTCATAACATAGGAAGGAATAAAAGCATAAAAAAAGGAAGGTACAAGCTCTCTTATCTTAGCCTGCTGGTAGAACTAGCTGGAATTTTTTTCTGATCAACTTAAAAAAATGCTCACTTGTTGACCCAAAAAGTATGGACTATGACATCTAGGATTCAGTGGTGTAGTTATTTACTTAGATATCAATGATTCCTGTGGAGGTGCTTCCACAGTACACTATCTACCCAGCAGACTGTCTTAAGACTGGGATAAATCTGATCCTTGCATTTCTCTCAGGCGCAGAGAAACCAGGTTTTCTGGAGTGGTCAGTCATGGCAGGTTATAGTTGGTGCACTGCGACAGGGCTTCAAGAATCTCTGTGGTTGGCCCAGGAGTCTGCAACCTCTGGGAACTCTTAGCTATAACTAGAACAATAACCTTCAGGTGTTGGACTGTTCCTTTTAAAAAGCAAATTTCTGATGTTCAGGATGCTCAGTGGTTGAGGAATGTATCAGTTTTAGAAGATGTCTGCAAGGTGTGAGCAAGGCCAGTTTCTTTTGGAAACATCATGTTTTGGTGTTTCCAGATCAGCGTTTCCATTTTTGTTATTTCTTCTTTGTCAAGTTTAAATTGGTTCCCTGAATGAAAATAATTCTTATGAACTAGAATTCTGATCTTGGGCCAGTTCCTCTAGTCAGTGGAGGAACTAGGAATTCCAACTATTTTCAGTTCTGTACCTGTCTTCTTGACTAGTCTTCCTCACAAAAGTGGAAAATTGTGAATAAGCCTAGGCATGTTCAGAGACTTAGGAATCTTTAGCAAGCCTTTGCTTCAATCCAGGTGGATCCAAGTTGGTAACAAATGATGGCCAGGGAGCCCTTGGGTTTGGGTTTCATGTGAGTGTTCTGCTTTGGTCACTAACCATACATACAGTGTTCCCTTAGTTAAAAGTTGGCGTTTTACGGGTTGGAAGCAAGCCTTGTTGAATAGGAGCAGAGAGAACCTTTGACACATTACTAAAGGCTTATTATTACATGTTGTGGTGAGGGAGACAGAACAAGCTTTTGAATCTACTCTGTGAGCTAAAAAAGCAGTTTCTGATTTATGTGTTTGTTTCCTCTTGCTTTTTTCCCCCTCCTTTTGCAGGCTTATGAAATGAAACTGAGGAAGTCTGTCAATCCCTCTTCAGCCTTTTTATCCACCACACTGCACAGTTTGGATCAAGTCTTGCATGGTGGAGTGCCCTGTGGATCCCTCACAGAGGTAACTTGTCTAATGAATTTTAATGCAGTTGCAGTTAACATCTACAAGTTAGAAGTCACAAATAGGTTGGACTGTGTTGTCAGCTGCTTTAAACACAAAATACGTAAATTGTGGATGAGAAGTGCTTGTTTTTAACTGGTAGAGGCTGCACTTTTTTTGTGTGTGGTAGGGTTTTTTTGTCTTTTCCCAGCATGTCAGATAAAAAAAGACAGGAAAAAAAAAAAAGGATTTGGTGATCCTATTATTTGTTTAAAAAGTAAAAAATTTCCCAGGAAATTTGTGAGAATTGTTGGCTGGATTTGGCACTGGGAAATGTGTAGTGTGGTTTCACAGCTGGATCACAAAGTGCCAAGTCAGGAACGTGTCTCCTTAGTACTGACTCACTCTGACTTCACCCAGTCATTAGTGTTTACGAAGTACAATAAGCAATTAGGACAGAAGTGTGAAGTGTATAGACATGAGAATGGCTTTATGGAGCTTCTCTATATAAATGTAACTAATTTATGAAATAAATATGCAATGTATTCTTTTTTTAAAACAGTGTAATGAAGGCCTGTATTTTATGCACCTGCGCTGTAACACTACAGAGTGTGTATCTAGCTATAGCTCTGTCACGTTCTGAACTTTGGATGCAATGCAATTTTTTTTGCTTGGAATTTTCTTTTTAAGAACAAGGGAGTACTTTTTCTTCTAGTACCTGGATTTCTGTATGGCCTCACAGAAAGTGATAACAGCTTGAAGAGTTTCTATAATCTGGAAAGACAGAATTTGTATAGATGCTTCTAGGAGTCATTGAGTAGTATAAAAACACAAAGATAAAATATCTGGCTCATTCCAGTCTCTGGAATCTGCTGAGCTACAAATAGACAAGGAGAAATGTATATATTGGAGGGAGCATCAATATATGTGTGCCCTGTTCTTACATTATTCCCCATGCCTATTGTAGGCCCTCAGTAGGAACAGAATCCAGAGCCAAATGGACAGTTGGTTTTATGCAATGTGGCTATATTTGCCTTCTTAAAGTAAAGTTGTCCTGGTTTTGCTGGCACAGACCCATGGGCCAGCCATGGTCTGCAGGCTGTTAGCAGTTTGGAAGCAGCCAGCTCAGGGCAGCTGACCCAAGTTGGCTACAGGTGTATCCTACACCATAAACATCACACTCAATATAAAGGGGGCAGTTTGAGGATGGAGGCTCCTTGTTTTTCTGCTTCCCTTCCTCTCAAGGGTTGCCATCCATGGCAGGGCTTGCTCATCATTCTGCTCCTGAGGGCTGCTTTCCTATTTACTGTGATGCTGTACGTTCACTGGTCTGAGTACAGCTTTGTTTACTTCATATTTGCACTAGTATTAATGCTAGTTTTGCTGTTTCATTGAATCTGTTCTTATTTCAACCCACATGTCTCCTCTTCTTTTCCTGGTGTCTCTTCTTGGCTGGGAGGGGTCATCGTTTCACAGAGCAACTGCTGTAGTTCAGCCCTGGATACAGGCTAAATGTAGGCAAAAGATCTGAACTCGCCCGGGCGCTTGAAATGAGAAGAAAAACATATATTGTGTGCATGATGCTCTGAATTTTGACAGATGGAAACTTTTTTTTATCTGGAACACTTTAACATTCTTTATCAAGTGCTGTTCTTGGTCTACTTTGGCAAATTGCCCCAGTAGAGAAGTAGAAGTGAGAAGTTACAAAAATTTTATTATGAGGAAAAGAGTGTTTTTTTCCACATCCTATAATCAAACTAAATTGTTTTTGATCTCAGCTAGAAATCACTTACAAAATCTGGTAGTGACTTAAAATGTATTAGTCTTTAAGCAGTAGTCAGCTTAGACTATAACAGTTCCTGCTCTAGTGAACTCTTGTGTAATGAGGAAATATAACCTTTTCAAGATTCTGTGTCTTTCTATATGATGTACAGGAGGGTATACACCATTTGGGGCTTCATAAAAATGTTTAAGAATGGATCCATGAACTTACATTGGTCTGTCAGAATTAATATTTTCTTCATTTTTAGGCCTAGCATTGTTACCAATTTACTATGAGAAAGCTGGATTGGAAGAATTTAAGATGAATACTGTGAGGCTTTAAATTCTAGGAGAAAAGACTTGCTAAATTCTGTTTAATTGAAGAAGAAATTCTTCAATTCTGTTTTTTCTATGTAGCAGTGGGTTATGCAGGGTCTTGAGATTGTAAGCATGCTGCTGTTGAGGGTACTGCCTTCAGCAGGAGATGAGTTTTTGGTTCCTAAAAATATTTTACCAGTGAGGCAGTGGCTGCACTAAGTGTAGTTTGACTCCTTTTGGATTACTGTTCAGGCACCTGACTGACAAAATAGCACAGCCTGTGATTGACAGGAAACTGCTCGCTTGTGGCTAGGATCTGGCTTTCCAGGATTTGTCTGGTCCACTTAACTTCTCAGTGGATGCAGAGAATGGCTGTTCACATGTTCATGCTGCTTAAACTTCTGAATTGTGCTTCTTTAGCTGAAATGTAGAGCCACTGCTGCACAGGCAGGAGAAGGAAGCAGAGTAGAGATGTGTCTTTAGTGTGGTACGATGACTGGTCCTTGAACATGTCGCTGGCTTGTGAGTGGTGCCCAAAAAAAAGGTGTCATTCTCCTATAGGTCAGCCCAGATAACCCAGTCTTCCCGTGGCTTGGCAATTTGGAGTAAAAGATGGCAGGACTGTAAAAATTGGCATTAAAGGATCCTGGAATATTTTTTCCTATAAAAAAAAATAGGTGATTGTGATTCTTTTTGGTTGGAAGAACCACACAGTTAATTTACAAGGCTGCTGATGATAAAGTCATGAGTATTTGTCTCTTTTCTTAACCAAATTGCAGCTATACTCCGGATTATCAGTGTAGTCTTGCCTGAACACCAGGTAGAATGGCTCTGGAGCACTGATAGGCTTTAAGCTTGATGGCCATGTTCTTGGCTTTGCTCCAGAAGATGATCTGGGAAAAGCAGTGGTTGACTGCTGGGAGTTTTACTGGGGTTCAGCTAACCTTTGACTCCTTTTATTTTAGTTTGAAAATAAGTTCTGCAAACAATTAATCTCAAAACATGGATATCAAGTACCATTTTCCTGAGGTGGTATAAAATAATGCTCTTCAGGAAGTAAATGCAAATGCTTAATTTTCTACAGTTATTTATTTTGTAATGCTTCTCAGTGTGGTTGATTATTACAATGCTCAGTTTTCAATTCGTTTTTTTCAATGTTTCCTTAAAACATTTGTCTCTTTAGGTATGAAAAAATCTGGTAAACTTGCTAAAGTCTATTTGAGGAGTGGTGATACTGTGTATATATTCATGTATTTACAGGTAAATACATGGATATGTACAGGTATTAAAGGGTATTGAATAGATTAAAAGATAGGCTGAACTTGAACTTTTATCTGGAATTCAAAATGAAAAGCAACCAGGGAAGGTGTTACACTTTTAACTTATTTAATATTTTTTTTTTTTTTTGTATTGTAACATACTTTGGTTAAAAATCTAGAGACCTGCCCTAACACAGGTATCTTCAACAGGTGATCTCACAAAGTGAAGGATGTTGAAGTCTCCACAAGGCAGCTAGTGGAAAAGACCAGAACCACAAGCACTGTGTCCTTCCACCAGGAGCTTGGTCTTAATTGCACCTTCATGGCAGATTGACAATACTGATGCATCATAACTATTTAATCAGATATATTGTAGAGAGAACTAGGCAGACGCCAGAAATTAGGTGACTAATTTAAGAGATTAGAGGTATCAAAAAATAGAAAAAAGTGTATTGCTTTTTATTTGCCTTTTGGGTGCTAAATGTGGAAAGTGATTGGGGTAGGTATTAGAGGGTTCTCAGCAAACAAAGGCAGAGAACAATTAACTACACATAAACTGAGTTTCTCAAAGCCTGGTTCTGGAGATTGCTGCAAAGCAATTTTGCAAGAGTCATCAAATCTGAAGTAATTTCAAAGGTTGGCAGCACTTTAAGTGCTCTTCAGTATGATTGTTAGATGAAATTTTAGTAGAAAGCTATCAAATCTGTGCTGCTGCTTTGATGCTGTTCTGCAGCTTGCAAACGTTCAGGGTCGTCTTCATCTATTCAAGTGATTTTGGAACTTAATTTTAATTTGCTCTTTTGCAACTTACTGCAGCGTGGCTGACCTGCAGGTTGCCTTTTGCTGTTTTTGTTGTTAGGCAGATTGAGTACTCAGAGTCTGAGAGAAGTTCTCTTCAAAAGTACCTTGTGTGCAGCATTTCCTTCCTGACTGGTGCAGCTAAATCATTCTCTTCTGTTACTTTACCCGGCAAGGGAGGGTGGTTGGAAACTTAGAATTGGAGTACATGAGCCACAGGGTTAAGACTTGTGGTGGTATCTTCTACAGCCAAAGCCACTTGTTTTTGAATGCCAGAGGGTTTTCATTTGTGTTACACCGTCTTGGACAATTTTTTTCCAAAGCCACTATTAGATTTTAAGCTGGAAATTAAATTGTAGCTTAAATTTTGTGGTCAGATGTCAGAGCTTTCGGCCAACTGCTCTGAGGAAAAATTAATGACTTTATGAATACTGAAGAGTTTAATCCCTGGTAGCTGAAGAATTAGTTCCCTGTGACTTCATCCAAACCCTACAGATGTGCCAGAGAAAATAATATGTAGCTTATTCAAAAAGAAAAGTGCCTTTTTATTAGGCAGAGATAAATTAAAAACTGTTGCAATCTTTACGTTTCTATTTGAGTGCTCTTGATTTTTTTTCAGAGCAAATTTAGAGAAAAACAAGCTAAGCAAACTTTTTGCAGACATTTGATTTTAAATTTTCTTAGAGGAAATTTATTTTTTTTAAACTAAGATTATATAGTTAAAAGTACTTGCTGAACCAGCAATAACTAAAGTAAAATGTGGTAATTCTTTAAAATTGTTCACTGCGGGTTATTTAATGCCCCTTAAAGGAACTGAGTTAAAAGATGAAGTATTGCTGTCTTTGGGAGTAGAAATTCTCTCTTGTTCCACTGGCTTGCTTCCCTATACTAGCTTGTACTGCAAGATTCCTGGTCTTTCTCTGATGTGATGCTTATAGCCACAGACATTTTTACTGCATCTCTGCTGAATTAGCTCCTGCATCAGCCACTGAAATAAATATTGATTCCAATGCACCTCCTAGGCAAGGCTGAAAGGACAAATGTTTTTGTGAGGTCTCCTCACAGTTGTCCAAACATTTTAATTTAACAGCTGGATTGATGCCCTCCCTTCATTTATTTCAAGTCGTCTTAACTAGAAACAGCTGATGACATTCCTTGGCTATCACAGTCTAAGGAATGTGTATTGCCTCTGCAGTTTTTATATATGCTTTGGGTCCATATTGAAATGTGGCAGCTATTGTTGATGTGGTATTTTGTAATGTAAGTATGCTTGATGGAGGACAGATAATGGCATAAGTACGACTGATTCCTGATCTGTAATGCACTAAACGCAGTGTGTGCTTCTAAACAAAAACCATCTAATGCTTCTCTTGCATTAAAGCCTCAAGCAGATTGACTGATATGGCTTGGTTTTCAGGCCTTGGTTAAAGACAGAAGTGCTTAAAGGGATTTTAACCAACGGTTAACAGTATCTAAAGTGTAACTGTAGCTAATGCCCTCCCTCAGTGTTGCTATGTAAATTTTCTGTGCTTCAGATCAGGCTGCTGCTGCTTCTTAAAATGAAACCATAGCAATACTGTAGTGTCTTGTGGTGAAATGGTGTTTGCACTTAAAAGCAAACTATTGGGCATTTAGGCCGTAAGAATCAGTTTGGTTTTGAGTGTCTGTCTGGTGTTTATATTTAAAAAAAAAAAAAAAAAAGAAGAAACCTTATAACAGCTGTGTATTTAAGCCTTTGTTTTGGTAGTACTAGGTGTTTTGAGGGGGTATGCTTCATTTTGCAGTATAACTTCCCTGGAAAGGATTATTTTTATTTAGCCCTTGCTACCATCAGAATTAACACATCTCTCTCTGGTTTTAGTGACTTAAGTCACTTCAACTTTGTATTTGCTACTTTTCAGTCCTCTTAGTATTTAAGATGTCATTACCTCCCTTCCTAGAAGCAATGACAATGTGATATTGTGTTAAAGACTCACTGCTGCAGTAATGAACACATGATTATCTGAACACAGAGCCCAGCATTCATTTACAGTCTCTGCAACCTCTGCAGTGGATAAAGAACAGCAAACTGCCATCTCTAGTAGAAAAATCTTCCTCTCAAACTGTGTATCCTTTTGATCCTTGTGTTTGTTCTCTTGGATCAAAATCATACAGGAACCATTTCACACGTGTTGAGTGTGCTCTTTTTGAATCCTGCTTAACTGCAGTAGGCTTTCAGTAAGCACAGGTGAAAGCTTAAAATTGGCAGGCTGCTCTGGATCATAAAATGATGTTCATGGTGAAATATGGCAACTGGGAGTTGACACTGACAACAAAACACATGCTGCATGGCACTGCATAGTCTCTGGGGCAGAGAAAACCTGCCTTACGTGTTTGTGGTTTGTACTGCACATTCAGTCTCTGTGATTTCCAAGGGAGAGCTGGTTGTAACCAGGGTGATGATGATTCCTAAGCAGTCATTTGCATTTGTGGGTTCATTAGCTCTGGACTCTGTTTTTAGCCCTAAAGGCTGTTGATGTCATGCCAATGTCAACTGTAGATCTTCTGATTCTTCTCCGTTTTAGAAGGTAGCACAGAGAAGGATATGGAAGAGTGAACTAGGTGTGGCTCTAGCAAAGCTCATGTGAGAGGAGGAGGAGAACAGGGGTCATTAAGTATGAGAGGTAATAAAGGATGTCAAAGAAAGTACAAACTTAATGTATCTGAAGATCCACTGTTCATTCTTCAGTGAGTGAATCTGAGTTCAAGGCACAGATCGAGGAGTAACTGCAAGTTGCTCTGTGTGGTCTGCATTCTGTCTTTTTTGTGGCTGTCTCCTTTGGTAACTGATAGAGCAGAATTTGAGGAATTCTAGTTGAGTGTTCTTAGTTAAAAGTGGAATTAGGGTTCCATGAATATGTCATCACTTGTTTATGTTAATGAACTTTTTTTCTTCCAGATAACCAGCCCACCAGGTTGTGGCAAAACCCAGTTTTGTATGATGCTGAGTGTTCTGGCCACGCTGCCCGTAAGCATGGGGGGGCTGCATGGGGCTGTGATATACATCGACACGGAGGCTGCCTTCAGTGCTGAGAGGTAGGATCCAAAATCCTAAAATATACATTTGCAACTTCTTTAGCACCTTTTGTCTCGGAGTCTTCAGTTATTTTCTGATTGATAATTAAGCATTTATAAAGCAAATACCTGTGATAGTTATTAAGCATTGATGTGATATATGCAGTTATCCCATAGATGATGAAATGAATTTGAGAGTGATTTGCTCGCCCTCCTAATTTATATGATGCTGCAAATTCCAGTTGTAGTATGATGAGGTGTATGGCACGCTGATTGATAAATGGTCTGGACAGTCCTGTGCCTGGAATCTTTTTTTGTGGTTCAGCTTGTGGAGGTAGCAGGAAAGCTTTGAGGATGTGAAGGCCCAGCATTTTGAGTGCAAAGGAAATGGAGGTGGTTTTTCTGTGAACAGTAGGACTGACATAGCCAGTGTTCATTTGCCATTCTGTCCTATTTCTGCTGAGTGGGGCCTCCTGCCCTTCTGCACTCTCAATTTCCTTCTGCAGTAAACTCACGTCTCCTGTATCTTTAGTGACCACGCAGTACTATATTCCCTTACCTTTATAACATCTCTTGTTCTTCTAATATCTCCTCCTTTCCTGTGCCACCAAAACTGCTCAGCTCTGTACTTACAATACCTTCTATCTGCTGATGGGACAGGAGGCACAGTATGCTGTGTCTGCTTGAGAGATGTGTGCACATGTTGGTTACTGCTCTTCCTGGGTTAACTGACCGATTAACTGTTGGAATAATTCTGCAGTATTTCATTAAAGGCAGCCCTAGGTTGCTTAGCTACCACCTTTGCTAAACCGTGAGGATTTGATCTTTTTGTGATGTCTGCTCCTTTGTCACTGTTGTTTTGACTTAGTGAGATCAAAAGTTATTAAAAGGTTTGGGAGAGAACAAGTAGTACAGTAGTCTCATCCTTGTTTTTCTACAAAAGTGGGCAGAAAGATTTAATTTTTATACCCATGGCCTGACCGTGGAGTATCAAAGCCAACATGTCTTGTTGTTTAATCATCTGAAGTTATCACGGATGAGAAGGTGGGGTTTCTAACCCTGCTTTTGTCAAGGTAATTTCACAAAAGTTTGAATTACCTTAAACCAGAGGTGTAATATATCAAAAAAAAAAGTTTCAAGCTGTGTCTCTGTGAAGTGTGATGCTCCCTTCTTACATACCAGTTCATTTTTGTTTCGGGTCCTTGAAAGGTAGATAATAAAAAAGGGTAGAACCTAATGGATCTAAAGTGGATGCTAAAGAAAAGGAAAACAGGTGAAGGTGAAAATGAAACTGCTGAAAATAGAGTAGGCTGTACAAAGGAGATGTGATAAAAAAAGCATTATTGCTGAGGGTGAAGAATATTTGTATTAAATCAGCCTCTAAGGAGCAGCACCTATGGAATGAGGGAACTGCTCATCCGCTTCTACTTGGTACCTGTTAGACTGTGCCTGGATCCTCTGTCCAGTTTTGGGCTCTTGATGTGAGAAAGTCCTAGCAAACTGCAGGGAGTTCAGCAGAGGGCTACCAAGCTGGCTGGTGTCTGGAGCCGCTTGTCCTCTGTGGAGAGGCTGAGGGCTTGCTCAGTCCAGAGGAGAGAAGGCTTTGAGGGGTCTAACAGCTTTCCCCTACCAATGAGATGGCCATCTAGAACATGGCATTAGTCGCGCCTGGCAGGGAGACAGGAGGCTTAGGTTGAAATTCATTTCTGTGCTGATAATGTGGAGAAGCTTTTTCACTTTAAGGACAGTCAGGAATGGAAAAGGTTGCCCAGAGAGGTTGTGCTGCCTCCATCCTTGGAGTCTCCCAAAGTACCAGTAGGTAAACCCTCAAGTAACTTGTTCTGACTTCATAGCTGGCACCACTTGGAACAGGATGTGGGCCTAGCGATCTGAGTTCTTTCTAACTTGAATTTTCTTATGGTTCTATAATCCTTTCTTATTAATAGATGGCAAATAGAAGAGACTTTGGGTTTGTTGTTGCTCTAAATACTTCAGATAAGAGGGCAAGTATTCATTTAATACCAACTTTGTTACTGAGGCGTTAATGGAGACATGTAGCTGTCACTATTTTTATTTGAACTCTGAAGTCTCAACAGAAAGCCCAAGAAGAGTGTTTGTACCCCTGCTGCTTTTCAGGGCTGAGAGCTACTAGTTGTAGCTGTCCTACCAGCTGTAGTGCTCTGCTGCTTCTAGAAGAATACTGCCTAGAGCTGGATCACTTTACTGCTTTTGCTGAAAGGCATTTCTCTTGTCATTCTGCCTGACAGGTCGGACTTCAGGGCAGGGAGCTTTTTGCTTCCACAAACTTTCATAGTCTTAACCTTTAACCTGATGGTTCAGGTCAGTCTAATAGCAATGCTGAGAAGAGTCATCATAAATGAGGCTGGTTTTTTAAGACATGCCACTGGCTTCTGTAATTTATGTATTTTTCTCTCGTGTCAGAGCCATAAGAGCGCAGCAAGTGTTTTTCATTCAGCTTTGTCAGAAGACGGACAGTAGGACAGGTAGATGAAACGGCTGTAGTAAGTCTGGAAAGCAAAATTGTTGTCATCAGTGAAGCAATTTTGTAGCAATTTGTAGCTATTCAATTCAACTCTAGCCAGGTATTAACTGAAAACATACCAGACTTACATAAAAGTCTGAAAATAATTTGTTTGGTTTGCTTTTCTCTCTAGCCACACTTATTTCTAAGTGGGAAACATTAGATAGAAATATCTGTGAGCCCAAGCTGAGCACAAATGGATTTTCCAGCCCATGGGCCTCTCCTCTGACTGCAGAAAACATGTCCTGTGCAGTTTTTGGTCTCATTGTGACAAGCAGGATTTAGATCTTAACTTTGAACCTTCATGGAGCTCTGTGAATAGCACTGCGATCTCAGCAGGATTTTGGCATAGGATTTTAAGTCAGTCTGTGTACTGATGCTCTTTGTGATATGCAGTCTGGTAGGGAGTGTACTGAAAGCTCATTTCATGCAGACCATTGAATGGCAGTTCACTGTTGCCCAAATGGTCTGCATGATTAATTATGCAAATGGAAAGAGAAGATTCTGTCCCTGGAAATTGAGGGACAAGTTTACATGTAATAAGTAAAGCATCTAATGAATGAGATTCAGGCTGTTGTAATGAAATTGCATGCTCAGGAGAGGTATATTGATATTCAAGCTCAGTGTGTCTATTTTTAAACCAAGTAAAACTGATTTAAAGCAATTTTTTTGAAATAACTTGTAACATTTTTGGTTTTAATCAAAGTGGCTTAAATAAAAAGCATCAAGATAACTAGTAAGTTGTGCCCACAGATATCCACTAGATGCCACTCTTCTCAAGCTATAGGCAGTGGGATATGTCTGTTTAAAATACAAACAATTAAGTATTTTCTGTTATTTCAAAAAAAAAAATCTTCATTGTGGAAAAAAATTCACAACACTCAGATTGTCACTGAGTTTCTAAGTCAAATTTTTGGATCATGTACCTAAGGACCTAGATAAAATTGACTTGTGCTCAGAGGGGTGCAGCCTCTTTCCACTGACTTCTGAAGAGTTTGCAGGCAGTCAGCATTTCTAAAACACATATCGTTTACTGTCCTCAGTGATTGTATGTATAAAATCTAATTGAAAATGTGGGCATCTCAGCAGTAAATTGTTCAGTTTTACGTCTTTGCAGAAGGTTTTTTCAAAGCATAGTTTCTGAATATTAAAGTATTTTTATAACAAATAATAAATATCCAACTTCCTCTGACTTCTTTTGGTGTTATCACCAGTTATCTGATACTCTTCCTTAGCAAACTCTGATAATAAACAGTTGTAATTCAAAGGTTTGAAGGGTCATGAATTTGCTCATGAGGCAATGGAGAAGACTTAGCCACAGAATGCTGCATTCAGTTCTGTCAGTGAAGCAGCCACTTAAACTGTTGATTCATTTCCTTGTGCCCAGCAGTGGCAGCTGTACCCGTGCTGTCTGGCTGGGTGGATGGGCAGTTGTAGCTGCCCGCAAGCTGGTGCCTCCGTCACCTGGTCACCCGGTGTGCGTTTTCTTCAGGTCTTACAAGCTCTTTTTTCAGAGAGGTAGCAGGCACAATGCAAATGGCTTCAGGGAAGAAGTTTCCTATCCAAATGACCTTGTTCTTGCTTTCAAGGACAGATTATCTGTGAAAAGGTTTGTACTTTGACAGGCATACCTTCCATACCTATGTTCCTTGGATAAGTATTTGCTGTGGAACTGGGCTCTGTTCTTTGCAGTCTGGTATCTGCTTGTCATTCATAGGTTTGCTTTGTGAATACTTGGTGTTGTCTTATCCCACATTATTCCTTTTGCAGTGTTTTGCCTTCTGTTTTATTGATAGGTTGATTGAGATAGCAGGAAACAGATTCCCTACTTATTTTGACTCGGATGAAAAGCTCTTCTGCATGACCTGTAACATTCACCTGTACCGAGAGCTGACCTGTGGCAGTGTACTGAAGAGGTATTCTTTTCCAGAGTTAAAAAATAAAGACCCTTTTGACTGGATTGGCTATAACAATACTTGTTTTATATCGAAGCTTTGTGACAATTCATTTGAGGCCTTTTCATGTTGATAACAGCACAGTCTTCAGCAAAGTAAAATCTCTACAGAAAAACTGATATTGTTCTTATTTCATAGCATGTGACTAATCCAGTTGATGTTTTCTGGTTTCTGATAGACAATTTCTCCATGGTCTGATGCCTTTAAAGGGGAGTGTCCGTGTGACAGGTCTTACCTTGTCTTGGATTGTGGAGTGACCGTTGTATAAGAGTTGTTTTCCATGAAACAAGAACTTGCTCCTCTAGAGCAGAGTTTAATTCCAGGAAGACTGGGACCCCAGCAGCAGTGGGAGGGAAGAATTGTTTAACAATCATCAGCCTAATTGCTGTTGTTGGCAGAGTTTTATTGTCATATTTTTATGTTAATTTTTGTGTTCTATGACATATTTTCATGTTAATTTTTGCAATGAAAGTGAATTAAAGGCCTTTTCCAACCCAAACCATTCTATGATTCTATTTTAGCATCGTGTGTATTTTATGTTAGTGTGAGAATTATTCTAAGAATAGTTTCTTTTAGTGCAGTTTTCTCAGAGAAGAGCTAGTAGCACATTATCAAAGGCTTAGGCTTGGTGTCCTGTATTTGGAAGTGTACAGAAATGGATTTGGCTTTCTGCATATACAGACCCCAGGGAGCCTGGTGTGGCAATAGGACATTGCTACTGTGAGCAGTGAGTTTCAATGTCCACGTGACTCACTGTATGCCATTCAGGGGATGTACAGCATAGTGTTGCTATCTAGAGGCTCTTCCAAATCTCTTTTTTGGAGAGGTTCTGCGGGCCATTGGAGCCTTGCATTCCTTTCCAAATCTCTTCAATACATGCAGATATTGGTGGAAGTGGTCTGTGAGGCGGGGAAAAGAGGGGCTGATGTTCAGCTTGTTAAAGTAAACCTTTTATATAAATAATTTCAGGGTTATAAAATGATTCTGTTGTGTAAATAATATTATCAATTTTTATTTTCTTCTCTAGGATTATGTCTTTGGAAGAAGAAATTATTTCAAAGAAAGTTAAACTCATAATAATTGACTCTGTTGCTTCAGTTGTCAGAAAGGAGTTTGACACCAAACTCCAAGGCAACCTGGCAGAGAGAAGTAACTTTTTGGCCAGAGGAGCATCAGTGCTGAAGTATTTGGCAGAGGAATTCTCAATACCAGTAAGTTCTTCCTCCTTTAAGTTTTTTTGCCTTACAGTATCAAGTAATAAAATCTGAAAATGACAGGAGGATGAAAACCAGAAAAAGCCTCTAGCAGGAATCTTCAAGCAGATACCAGTTGGAAAAGATATTTGGGAGTAGGGAAACAAAAAACAAGCACAACTGTTACTTTTTTTTTTTAAATTTAGGATTTCAAATGAGGGTTTACAAGACTCTCCAGCTGTATTTTAGTGCTTAGTTTTATTTTTTTCCTTAAATCTTGTATTTCACTGCTGTTAAATATTGCTTACCTTGATGCTTCCCTTCTAATGCAATGCTTTGCTGGAACTGGTGTGTACTCTGGCTATGTGAACATCTTCTGTGTCTGTCCCTTCTACTTAAGCTGAAAGAATCTCAAAAGGCCTTATGTTCTGGAGCAGAGTAAATTCCTTTTGAGACTGGTAATGTATGCTAATTAATGCAGAAAGGAAGACAACAGCAAATCCTTGTCTGTGGACTTGCACATAAAATAAAGTAAGGAAGATAGGGACACTCAGTGCAGGACTGGGTGGAAACAGTTGATTGGTGCTTTAGAAGACTTAAGCTGCATAAATGTGTGTTTTCCTTCCTTATGTGATCCACAAGGGGATCATATCAGCTTGAAAGATGTGAGCGAGACTCAACCCTTGGAAGTATTTTGTAGTATGGGCAACCTACTTGTCACTCCAGTGTAAGAGAGAACCTGTGGCAATAACTTGAGTAAGACTGATTGTCTTTTCCCTCTGACACTCCTGAGGTCACAGCAGCTATCATACCAGAAATACACGTCAGGGGTGTGGAACTGACTGACTTTAGAGGAATGGATTTCTTTCTGCTGTGTAATTTCTCAACACTTTTGATGTAGAAGATTAAACCCTGTATTAGTATCTTTACAGTTCAGGTACAAAAGATAACGTCCTTGTTAGTGCACCCAATAATGTTTATAGTGCTTTAAAAAGCCAGCAAAGAATTGTGGGTAAGTACGTACACTGTCATATTTTGGGGAAATATTATGCAATCCTTTGAAAAATGGGAGAAGCGTTATGGGAAGATTCCATTTTTTCTCTATTTTCTTGTAGTTTAGACACCCTCTGCTCCCACTTGCACCTTCATTACATGGTGAAGTTGAGCTGGATTGTACCCTCTGACAGTTCAGGCTGCTGCTCTGCTTACAGTCAGAGGGACAGCACTGATACTCACAAAACTCTTAGATTTGGACAATATGATGTAGCCTAAGATTGTAATCTTAATTCATCCTGCATAAGAAGAAAGTAAAGCTTGGATGTTTAAAGGTTTCTATTAAGTTACAGCTCATGTGTTTGCTTTGAGGCATTTGCCTGGTGTGCTGCTCTGTCCTTCTTTCTCACTGTATGTGAGCACTTTGGTAAGGAGTTCTGGGATTCTGGACAGGAACTTGTTCCCTGGTCACAGCTCTGTCTTTTTGAATGGGTCCATGAGATAGCTTACATTTTAAATAACATCTTTAAAGAGCTGTGAATGTAAATACAGGTAAATACACAGACTGAAAGCTTTTGAAGCACCTATTGATTAGACTTATCAACTTATTCAATGGAGGTCCAACTGTATTTTCATTTATAGTCATCTTTAACACACATTGCTTGTGGATTGGTCATGGAGTATTTTAAAGACTTGTTAAATTTTGTGTTCTAAAACAATCCTACTAGTTAAGAATTCTAGGAGGGCCTTGTCTAACCTTGAGATTAGAGATTTGGGTTCTTGCAAACAGATCTCTAGGTAAAGCTGTGTATGAATAACACACAAAATCCAACCTCTGAGAGTATGCATCTGCAAGAGTTGGTGCAGACAAGAGGTACGTCTGCTTGTTGCATATATTACATTAACTCCTGTTACTTGAGATTACAGAGTAGCCAAAGTTCTCATTGTAATAAATGTATTGGAATTATTTCAGCTGTTTTTACTTACCAAGAAAATAATAATTTTGAATTTGGGACTAAAAGAACATTAGTAAGATTGCAAAGTGATTTAGACCACTGATAAATTGGACACCTGAAACAATATATAACCATTATTTCATGGCAGAATCAGTGCATCTAAATACTGAGCTGGGCAACAAATGAGGGGACTCTGCCTGAGACTTTGGCAAAGACTTGGCAGTTGATGACAGATAGGAGCTGAAATTGAAGTAAATCTTGGCTGTAGCTAAAAGGTCTGGTGAAAACTTTGAGTAATTGAGTAAGAGAAAAGAAGTTTTTCTATTATCTGGCTATAGCAATTACTGGAGTGACACATCTGGTGTTAACAGTCCAGGGAGGATGGTGAAAAATCAGCTTCCAGAGAATGCCTTGAAAATGACTGGGAGAAAGGGAGAGCACTCTTAGTAATTAAGACATAAGGTCCTTACTTCATTTAGCTTAGCTAAGGGAAATGGTGTTTATTCATTAGTCACTATGTACCTACTCGAGGAAAAGGTATTTGATAAAAGCAACCTTCTCTTCAACTGACAAAGGTATACTACAGTTCTGTGGTTGGATGCTGAGTTAAGCAAGTTCAGACTTCAAATGAAGGGTGTGTTCTCACTGGGCTGCTTAATCATTGGAATGCATTGCTAAACATGAATAGCTTCTTGTCACTGAGTATTTTTAAATGGATGCCTTTTTTCAAGTTTTTAAAAATGAAGTGGGTTCAAATAGTATTAAATCTGGGGAAAACCTGTACTACCATGTTATGCTGGAGTTTAAATGAGTTTAACACATTGGTTGGTGTTATGAACTCTTTAGCTGTTTAAAATTGCGTGTCCATGGCATCAGAGTATTGGGTTTGATGTGCAAGAGGGACTAGTGTTGATAGCTTTTACTGAATTCTGGGGAGCCATTTCAAGCCCATGTAGCCCTATATGGAGATGTTCTGTGGAAAGTAACGCTTCTCATCCTCTGTGTAAAATTTACATGAAATCTAGTAAATGAAACCTCAGCCCATCTTTTGAGAGGGGAAATAATGTTAAACATACTCATTGAATGGTTCTGTCACAGCCACTGATTGAAGCAAGTGAAAGGTTTGTGTGAGTGTAAATTTTTGACTTGATGGTTTTTGAATGTTTTTGTTTGTAAAGTACAAAGATACTGAAGCTTTTTGCTCCATGGGGGACTACATAGCAGCGTCCTTTTTCACCCTTACCTGCACACAGCAGTGACTAAAACCTATTTTTTTTTTTCTATTAAGTTTGGTTGAAACTAGACAGTCAGATCAAAAGCATTTGCTGGGAACTGAGGAGGACAGTTTGACTGTAAATCAAACAAAAAGCCCTTTATTTTTGAATTCTAGTGAAGATGTGAAGCTATATTACCTTTATCTGTTTTAGAGCATGGTGTACTTGAGAGCATTTGGATCTGAATGTTTTCTGTTAGAATGTGTGTTGATGTTCTCTACCAGAGGACATGTTTAAGCAGCAGTAATCATGTGTGTTTGCTGTCTAGTTTCCCGACTTCCTTAGCCTTCTTAAAAAGAAAAGTTTCCATATTGGTAGGAAACTACTTGTTATTACTTAGTGGTATTCAGTAAAAGTAGTGTAGTGTTCACACTGGTTGAAAGATGTCTTCATTTCAGTGAAAAGCTAAAACTAACATCCAATATGACTAGAATTGTTCTTGAGATTTCACTGTTTACCTTATGAAAATTGTTATTTATAGAACTTGGCCTTTTATAGTTGTTAGTACTTGAGAAAATGTGTGAAGCTGGCTAGACGTCTCCATGGAAAACCCCTCTAAAAGTGGCAGTTGCAGAACAAAACTGCTTTAGGCATTCTTTTAAATGTCAAATTGAGACTGAAGATGAAACTTGCTTTGTAAGTCCCTCAGGCTAATCAACTTACAACACTGACTGTCCTTTTTACTTTTGTCTGAGTTGTGTTCTTAGATCTGTGAAGTGAACCTTTGTTATTTATGATAAGTGTGTTGGCTATCATTACTCCCGGCAAATGTATAATAGTATCTTTCTTTTTTTTATTGTTCTTTCTGAGAATATGAAATAGCTTGGGAGAAGAAGAGACTTTAATCTCTCACTTGTGATTTATAGTGCCAATGAAAAACAAACCTTATGTAACTATTGTCTAATGCTTTTGTTTGCTATGCTAAATAGGTTAACAGTAGTCAAGAAGCCCATAGTTTCCACAAGTAATATTTTTTGCCATTTAGATGCCACATACTTCATTTAAAACCTGAAAATTCACTTTATCAGTATTGATAACATGACAGCAATTAAAGCTGTTGTAGTAAATTTTCTTTTCACACTCAGTTCTGTTTTTTTATTTTAGTGCTCCATACTCATTTACACATCCTGCTCTGTAAACTTTATACCCAAGACTTTAGTTTGCTTTGCAAAGCTAAGTGTTTAGCTAAATATATATTTGGGTTTAGGTTGTATACAATTGTTTTTTCTCAAAATCAGTTTATATGCACAAATTCCTTGACATCTGCAGTGCATTTTCTGCTATCTTTAATTAAATGTGTTTAATTGTATCATCTTGGCTTCCTGCAGTAAAGTGTCTCAAGATTGAAGTGCTGCTGTTGGCAAAGAGGATATTCAAACTGTTAATTTTCTCTTTCTTTTTGAGCAAGTATTTCCATTTGGGCTCATCCTTGCTTCTGTTTTATTCTGCTTCCACATAGATGGTTGCTTGTCAGCTCTGCACCTTGCTTTTGCTGGTTCTGATACTTGAAAAGTGTTAGTTCATGGAGAGCTAAACAAATTCCGGAATGGAACATTTCTGAAGAAATGATGTTTAAATGCCAATTCCCTTTGAATTGGTAATAAATACGTGGAAAGTTTGGAAAAAATGAATGGTTAAGTTGTTGTTATAGTACATAACATGGTATGCTGATTTTTCCCAAACTATGGAGATAAATTAGACTGCCAGGTGAATTTGTCTGTCTGGACTGTGAACTGCTGAAATGCAAAATTTGTTTCTATAATTTGCTATTAAAAAGTATTTTTATATACCAGTG